TATGCCCAAGATTACCATCCGAGTTGCCGTCGGGGGAAGTGGCTCAAATAGCCTCGGCTATCACTTCCTTTTGACGGCCGTGATGGTCAAGCGGATTAAGGCGCCCTGTAGTTACCAGTTGCGTTGCTTCTGGGAGTATGGGTTCGAGTCACTTCTGGGGTGTGAGTTTTCATTCATATATATATATATATATATATATATATATATATATATATATATCTATATATATATATATATATATATATATATATAGGTCGTACCTAATAGCCAGAACGCACTTCTCAGCCTACTATGCAAGGCCCGATTTGCCTATTAAGCCAAGTTTTCATGAATTAATTGTTTTTCGACTACCTAACCTACCTAACCTAACCTAACCTAACTTTTTCGGCCACCTAACCAAACCTAACCTATAAAGATAGGTTAGGTTAGGTTAGGTAGGGTTGGTAGGTTCGGTCATATATCTACGTTAATTTTGACTCCAATAAAAAAAAATTGACCTCATACATAATGAAATGGGTTGATTTATCATTTCATAAGAAAAAAATAGAGAAAATATATTAATTCAGGAAAACTTGGCTTATTAGGCAAATCGGGCCTTGAATAGTAGGCCAAAAAGTGAGTTCTGGCTACTAGGTACGACATATATATATATATTAGTGCGTACCTACCATCTTGGCCACCAAGATGTCAGGTATGCACTTATACCCACTGCACTATACTTAGAGCCCTAAAGAGGTGGGAATTCTGGGGTATTTAACTCCCAGACAAACCAACCTCTCCAGGCAATGGTATAGTGAGAAGCAATTGACGTTTTCCATCAAGCCCTGTGTGACGGGAAAGTGTAGGAGTGTAGATGTTCTGCAGTCCTCCAATGGCTGGTGTCAATGCCTAGTCACACTTACAAAAAAAAGATAGACTGCTTGGCTGTTTATCTGTGGTAAAGTAAGGGAAGACACGCAAAACACATAGTATGAACAATGAAACTTTAATTAATATAGAAAACAAATTAAAAACAAAGACAATCCCTTGGCTATGTCCAGTGCAAACAAACAAGTCAAAAACATATAACATAAATTAAGAATAGGGATGACGTTACTCGACAATAATATAAAGACAAAGTGATTAAACAGGTGCCGAGAATATAGCGCTAGCTGAGAAACATCCATCTGATAGACAGCGTATATCAGTTAGTTGTTCACAGCTTGAGAGCACAGGATATTCTGACTTCAATGGCTGGTTCAAGCCCAGACATTGACTTGTAGAGGGCGCTGAGGTGCAGGTGTGCAGTCGGCGGGTCACAAACAAGAAGCAGGCAAGCTGGGAATGGTAGTTTGCTGGTTGATGACGGAGCCGGCATGGAGGGAGTGGAGTAGGGGGGAGTCTTGGGGACGTTTGCCTCCTGGTCAAAACGTTTTGTGCTACTGGTAGACGTATCTTGAAGGTAGCATCTTATTGTTGTATAATATACATAACTTTATGTAGAGAAGAGCAGACTCAATCTCTCTTGAAAGAGATTATCGTCACAACTCTCCCCCGAAGCCTGCTCTAATGAGTGAAGTTACGTCTTCAGGTTGTAGAGTGGTAGGTGGAGTTGCCTCTACCTCATAGACTCTGGAGAGGGCGTCTGCTATGATGTTGTCAGAACCCTTGATGTAGAAGATCTCCAGGTTGAAATTCTGCAGATACAAAGCCCATCGTAGAAGTCGTTGATTGTTGAATTGGGCTTGCTGCAGGAAGCGTAGGGGATTGTGGTCCGAGTAGATGGTGGTAGACCGAGCACTTTGTAGGTACGATTCAAAGTGCTGTAAGTTCAGGACGATGGAGAGAAGTTCGATGGTTCGGAACGATGGTTCCTTTTCGATAGTGCTGAAGTTCTTCTGGTGAGGTTTTAACTTGTAGCTGTAGTAGCTAACAGGTAGAACCTCCTCGCCTCGTTGTTACATCAGGACGCCCCCGATGCCGGTACCACTGGCGTCGACATGGAGGATGAAAGGCTTCCTGATATCTGGCGAGGCGAGAATAGGATTAGAACAGAGCATGGCTTTAAGTTGTTCAAAAGCAATGGTTTGCTGAATGGTCCAATGATACAGTTGCTTGGGGCTGGTTAAAGTGATCAATGGTCTCGCCACCGTACTAAAATTCTTCACAAACCTACGGTAGTAAGAGGCAAGACCAAGGAAGCGCAGAAGCTGCTTCTTGGTCGTAGGCTGTGGGTAATGCTGGATGGCTTGAGTGTGTATGTTTAACGGAGCTAGGCTGCCACTCCCTATCTCATGACCAAGATAACGCACTTTAACTTTAGCAAAGGTGGACTTGCCCAAGTTGAGGGTGAGGCCGGCTGTCAGGAGCTTGGCAAACAATCGTGGCAGCTGGAGCAGATGTTCGCTCCAGGTGTTAGTTGCCACAACGATGTCATCCAAGTAGGCGTAGGTGTTATCTAAGCCCTGGATGACGCGGTTGACAGCTCGCTGGAAGGTGGCCGGGGCATTACATAGTCCAAATGGAAGGCGTTCGTATCTGTAAAGGTCAAAAGGAGTGGTAAGGCAGATTAATTCATGAAAACTTGGCTTATTAGGCAAATTGGGCCTTGAATAGTAGGCTGAGAAGTGCGTTCTGGCTACTAGGTACGACATATATATATATATATATATATATATATATATATATATATATATATATATATATATTAGTACGTACCTGCCATCTTGGCCACCAAGATGCCAGGTATGCACTTATACCCACTGCACTATACTTAGAGCCCTAAAGAGGTGGGAATTCTGGGGTATTTAACTCCCAGACAAACCAACCTCTCCAGGCAATGGTATAGTGAGAGGCAATTGACGTTTTCCATCAAGCCCTGTGTGACGGGAAAGTGTAGGAGTGTAGATGTTCTGCAGTCCTCCAATGGCTGGTGTCAAGGCCTAGTCACACTTACAAAAAAAAGATAGACTGCTTGGCTGTTTATCTGTGGTAAAGTAAGGGAAGACACGCAAAACACATAGTATGAACAATGAAACTTTAATTAATATAGAAAACAAATTGAAAACAAAGACAATCCCTTGGCTATGTACAGTGCAAACAAACAAGTCAAAAACATATAACATAAATTAAGAACAGGGATGACGTTACTCGACAATAATATAAAGACAAAGTGATTAAACAGGTGCCGAGAATATAGCGCTAGCTGAGAAACATCCATCTGATAGACAGCGTATATCAGTTAGTTGTTCACAGCTTGAGAGCACAAGGATATTCTGACTTCAATGGCTGGTTCAAGCCCAGACATTGACTTGTAGAGGGCGCTGAGGTGCAGGTGTGCAGTCGGCGGGTCACAAACAAGAAGCAGGCAAGCTGGGAATGGTAGTTTGCTGGTTGATGACGGAGCCGGCATGGAGGGAGTGGAGTAGGGGGGAGTCTTGGGGACGTTTGCCTCCTGGTCAAAACGTTTTGTGCTACTGGTAGACGTATCTTGAAGGTAGCATCTTATTGTTGTATAATATACATAACTTTATGTAGAGAAGAGCAGACTCAATCTCTCTTGAAAGAGATTATCGTCACAACTCTCCCCCGAAGCCTGCTCTAATGAGTGAAGTTACGTCTTCAGGTGGTAGAGTGGTAGGTGGAGTTGCCTCTACCTCATAGACTCTGGAGAGGGCGTCTGCTATGATGTTGTCAGAACCCTTGATGTAGAAGATCTCCAGGTTGAAATTCTGCAGATACAAAGCCCATCGTAGAAGTCGTTGATTGTTGAATTGGGCTTGCTGCAGGAAGCGTAGGGGATTGTGGTCCGAGTAGATGGTGGTAGACCGAGCACTTTGTAGGTACGATTCAAAGTGCTGTAAGTTCAGGACGATGGAGAGAAGTTCCTTTTCGATAGTGCTGTAGTTCTTCTGGTGAGGTTTTAACTTGTAGCTGTAGTAGCTAACAGATAGAACCTCCTCGCCTCGTTGTTGCATCAGGACGCCCCCGATGCCGGTACCACTGGCGTCGACATGGAGGATGAAAGGCTTCCTGATATCTGGCGAGGCGAGAATAGGATTAGAACAGAGCATGGCTTTAAGTTGTTCAAAAGCAATGGTTTGCTGAATGGTCCAATGATACCGTTGCTTGGGGCTGGTTAAAGTGATCAATGGTCTCGCCACCGTACTAAAATTCTTCACAAACCTACGGTAGTAGGAGGCAAGACCAAGGAAGCGCAGAAGCTGCTTCTTGGTGGTAGGCTGTGGGTAATGCTGGATGGCTTGAGTGTGTATGTTTAACGGAGCTAGGCTGCCACTCCCTATCTCATGACCAAGATAACGCACTTTACCTTTAGCAAAGGTGGACTTGCCCAAGTTGATGGTGAGGCCGGCTGTCAGGAGCTTGGCAAACAATCGTGGCAGCTGGAGCAGATGTTCGCTCCAGGTGTTAGTTGCCACAACGATGTCATCCAATTAGGCGTAGGTGTTATCTAAGCCCTGGATGACGCGGTTGACAGCTCGCTGGAAGGTGGCCGGGGCATTACATAGTCCAAATGGAAGGCGTTCGTATCTGTAAAGGTCAAAAGGAGTGGTGAAGGCAGATATTTCCTTAGCTCGCTCTGTCAAACATACTTGGTAGTATCCCTTGAGTAAGTCTAGCTTCGATAGATACCGAGCATTACCAATGGCGTCAAGGATGTCATCTATTCTAGGTAATGGATAAGCATCCTTGATAGTCACAAGATTCAATTTCCGGTAATCGGTACACAACCTCACTTTACCGTGCGGTTTCGGCACCAAGATGCAGGGTGAGGCCAAAGGGGACTCACAAGGGGTGGCCAGCCCATGATCCAGGAGGTACTGTACTTTAGCACGCATAACTTCCTTTTTGCTCGGGCTGATTCGGTAAAAACGTTGACGAATCGGCCGGGTGTCAGGGAGTAGCTGGATGTCGTGCTGAACCACATTACACGCCTTTGGATCATCGCTGAACAACTTCTGATGTTCCTTGAAGATTCTGATGAGAGGAGCACTATTACTGTCCTGCAAATAGGTATGAAGATCATTAAGGATTTCCGAGTTGGAAGGCACTGACTCAGTGTTAGTGCTTTCGGGAGGAGAAGCAGGGAAGGTCTCACTGTGGAGGTATGGACCTTTGAATGTGGATAATGAGACTAACACAGTGGGGGGAGTACCTTGATACTGCTTCAAGAGGTTGACGTGGCACAACTGGGTCTTCCGCCGCCTATCTGGAGTCTCAAGAACGTAGTTGTGGTTGTTTCTGCACTCCTTGATGCGGTAAGGTCCTGAAAACTTGTTTTGCAATGGAGAACCTGGTATAGGAAAATATGCCAACACGAAGTCTCCTGGTTTAAATTTTCTTAGTTTGCTGCGTTGGTCAAAATGAGTCTTTATCCTCTCCTGAGCTTTCAATAGATTGTCATTAGCAAATTTACGTACTCTCTCTAGAATGTGTTTTAAGTTTGGAAGAAACTGGGGCACATTCTGAGGGTCACTGAAGGTGGTATTACGTAGAGAGTCTTTGAAAGCTTTGAGAGGAGTACGGCACTTACGTCCGTAGAGCATCTCATAAGGAGATACTCCTAGAGACTCATTGGGGAGACTTCTGAAAATGCACATAATGAGGTCAAATTGTTTATCCCAGTCCTTCAAGGTTTCATTGCAAAATTTCTTTAGGAGTGCTTTAATAGTCTGATGACTACGTTCAAAGAACCCTGTGAAGCAGGATGATAGGGGCTGGACAGTACCTGTTTGATGTTGAACTCCTCCAGTGTCTTCTTAAAGAGATCACTGGTGAAGTTGGTGCCACAGTCACTTTAAACCTCTCTTGGAAATCCATACTGGGTGAAGATCTTCAATAGTTGTTTCACCACAGTAGCAGCCGTAATGTTCTTTACTGGAACTGCTATTGGGAATCTGGTGGTAGGACACAGGATAGTTAGTATATAGGCGTTGCCAGAACTGGGCCGGGGTAAAGGACCAACACAGTCTATGATGAATCTGTGGAAAGGTTCTGCAGACACCTGGATAGGATTTAATGGAGCCCGGGGAATAGAGATGTTAGGTTTACCTGCCATCTGACATGTATGACACTGTTGCACGTAACTTTTGACGTCTTTAACCATACTTGGCCAGTAGTAGTCTTGTCTGATTCCGTGGTAGGTTTTGTTAAAACCATAGTGAGAAAGTGCTCCGTGGGCCAGGTGTAGAATATCGGGCCGTAGGCTGGTGGGAACCAGGTAGGCTCGATTAAAGAACACCAGAGGTCCTTCATCATCTCATTGCCTGGGAGAGAATGGAATTCTGTGGGTTAAATACCCCAGAATTCCTACCTGTCTTTATGGCTTTGAAGTATAGTGCAGTGGATACAGTGTGTACCTGCCACTCTTTGGGCCAGGGTTCGAGTCTCCTGGTGGGTTGAGTGTTAAAAAGTTATAAACTTCAGCTTGCGAGTTATAGGCAAGTCTGTGCATATATATATATATATATATATATATATATATATATATATATATATATATATATATATATATATATATATATATATATATATACATATATATATATATATATATATATATATATATATATATATATATATATATATTGGTGTGTACTGGCAGCAGGTTTTCTTTTAAACATGTCTCATTGAATATGGCCGCATATTCTGTATTTAGTATCTTCTGATTTAGGGCTTGTATCCCTCTAACTATTTTCTTAGCATCAGGGCTTAGCTGAAAGAGGAGTTCTTCAAAACTCATTTTCGTAATTTCAAGGTGAAGAAAAAAGTGAACTACTATAGAATGTATTACACTTATTCATACAATTTGCACAACGTTTCGAACCTCCATGGTTCATTCTCAAGCGAAATGAATTTTCAGAACTGGTTGATTTATACCCGCACTGGGTCAGGTGATAAGACAATAAAGGTAAAAACATGCGGGATACATAAGGTTAAATGGGGGATGAAGCACATAAGAACATAAGAATAAAGGTAACTGTGGAAGGCCTATTGGCCCATACGAGGCAGCTCCTATCTACATACAAATATTAATCAGGCGTAATTGGCCTATTATGTTGAACAGTGTCTTCTGTTTTGGCATCGTTATGTTCTGGTCTTGTCCTTACTCTCATGGTGGGTAGAGTAAATAGTTCCAGGATTTGGGTGTTCATGGTAGGTTTTTCTATTCTTATGTGAATTGCTTCAAGAATTTGTAATCTTCTTGCATCTTGGGTTTTGTCTATTATACAGGTATTTTTGTTCAACATTTCTCTTGTTAGGGTGATGTCATGGGCTTGTGTCATGTGATTCCTGAGGGCACTGGATTGAAGAGGACATGTCAAACGCCTCGTCAGCTTGGTCGACGTCATACCTGTGAACTTAGATTGAAGGTTACAGCCTTCGTGGGGGCAAGTGTACATGTATACAACGCTTGACTGCTGTAGAGGGTTCTCCGTCGGCTTCGGGCTGTTTTTGATAAGGAGTTCGGAAGTCTTCTTGGTTTTGTAGAATATGACCAGGTCTATGTTTTGGTTAGGAGTAGTGCTTTTTACTCCTTTATAGATTATTTCTTTCATTATTCTTTCCGCTTTTATATGTTCACTGTGCATGGTTGATTTGTAATATAATTTTATTGGAGGTACTGTGGCTTCTGTTCTAGGTTCAGGATTATACCATCGGTCCAAGAGTCTTCTTATAGCAGCGTTTATTTCCGCGTTGTTATATCCGTTGTTCACCAATATCTGAGTTACTCTTTCAAACTCTCTACTCACGTTGCTCCATTCGGAGCAGTGGGTAAGCGCTCGACGAATATAAGCATTGAGAACACTGGCTTTGTATCTTTGGGGCACTCACTTCTACCGTTCAGGCATAATTCTATGTTGGTGGGCTTAGTATATACGTTGGTGCTTAAAGAGGTTCCTGTTTTTGTTATTAGTACATCCAAGAATGGCAGACTGTCATTTTCATTATTATCATGTGTAAATCGGAGTCGACTATGGTTGTGTCGACTGGAACGTTGGTAAATAGGGATTCGACGTCCAGGGAAACAATGATTCCATCTGGCTGAGTAGATTTGATTAATTCTAGGAAATCTGCTGATGATTGTAGAATATACTTGCTTGGAGTGCATGGAGTTAGAAGTTCGTTAAGTCTTTTTGTCAGGAGATAGGTTGGAGTTGGTATTTGGCTGATTATTGGGCGTACTACGCCCAATAATCAGTGATCCCGTACCATTATACTACTACTGTGACAACAGTGATCCAGTACCATTATACTACTACTGTGACAACAATGATCCTGTACCATTATACTACTACTGTGACAACAGTGATCCAGTACCATTATACTACTACTGTGACAACAGTGACCCAGTACCATTATACTACTACTGTGACAACAGTGATCCAGTGCCATTATACTACTACTGTGACAACAGTGATCCTGTACCATTATACTACTACTGTGATAACAGTGATCCTGTACCATTATACTACTACTGTGACAACAGTGATCCTGTACCATTATACTACTACTGTGACAACAGTGACCCAGTACCATTATACTACTACTGTGACAACAGTGATCCTGTACCATTGTACTACTACTGTGACAACAGTGACCCAGTACCATTATACTACTACTGTGACAACAGTGATCCTGTACCATTGTACTACTATTGTGACAACTGTGACCCAGTACCATTATAATACCACTGTGAAAACAGTGCTCCAGCACCACACTTACTCCAGTATTTTTATACTACCATTTTGACAAGTGCTCCAGTACCTTTATACTACGACTGCCAGAAAAGTGCTCCGGTACCACATTACATCTAGTACTATTATCCTAGCAGTGTGACAACAGTGGTCAAGTACCATTATACTACAACTGTGACAACAGTGGTTCAGTACAATGATACCTCCACCGTCATAACAGTGTTTCAGTACCACACTTACTCCAGTATCATTATACTCTCACAACAATGCTCCATTACTATTTTACCACTACTGTCATAACAGCGCTCCACCACCACATGTCAGATATTTCCGACAACATTACTAACTTCTAATATAATATGCAGAAAATAATATTACTGCTGATTTTGTATTATCCAAATTAAAAAAAATTACTTCCGAAACTCATTCAAAGAAAACTTTACTCGTTGCAATTTCCTCCAGAAAACGAGATTATGTTCCTTCATCGCCGAAGTGAATATAATTAATCAATAAATGCTTAATGCAGCAGTCTCAGGAATGGAACTGACAAATTACACTTAATTATTAGTTATCAAGTGACTAAAATATACTTCTCCCAATTATTAATAAAACTAAAAAGGAACTATTTTGTTGGAGCATGTCTCCAGGGAGGAGGAGTAGCTATTAATTGCACATCAAGCCTTCCCAGCTAATACCCGTAAATTTTGTCAGTGTCACTTAAATCATATTGCCGGTATTTGAAATAATAAGTACCTAAATTAACGGACGGATTCGTCTACGAAAGCGACAGGGAAGTGCTTAATTAATTTAAAATTCCGTCTATACCTTGTTCTTTATTGCCAAATGTACGACATTTTAGGTAAGTCATCTGGAACGATTCTCAGCCAAAATGAGTTACTTTCATAATACTAGTGAACTGAGTCAAAGATTAGCCATAAAATCATATTAATTATAATTAGTGTAGTTGTACATATCTGCATTGTAATATCTCGGCAGGCTGGAGTCAGGACAACACTGTTACTGAATAATTGTCATTAATGGTGAGGCGACGTGACAAAAGACGACGCCATTACAGCAGGGGCCCACTCACTAGTTCAGCACTGGTTCCATGATGACTGTCGAAGCCTTCTAGTCAGACTTATTGACTAGAAGGCAATATAACCTTTTATTTCCACGGAAGTGTGGATAATAATTTATATTTACCCTAGGCTACTATTATTAAATTGCTCAGGATTTATGAGTACATTTCCCAGTAATTTCCACTAAGAAATCATGGGACCAACAAAACCTAACCAAGCAGACAGCATAGCTGTTTCAGAAACAAAGTTAAAACATACCCTAACTGGACTCAAAGGGTCATTTAACTCGACAGATCAATAAATGCCCTGGTCTGTCACAACAATCTCCAGCTGATCATGTACAACTGCAACTACTTTCAAGTAGCAACAAGTAAATTTTAACAAGTCAAATGCCAGACAGAAAAGTATTTGGCTGAACTTGCCCACACAAACTTAACCACAGATGAATAGCCACATTAGATGATATTATGGCTGATCTGGCTCAATATGATGATGGTACTCAAGCCAGGCTGTGTCCTTTCATCAAATTAATTAATTGCCTAGAACTAGGCAACAACAACAGTTTCACCCAACACCACTATCCAATCAGAAATGAAACTTTTCTCAGTCAGTTTACCCACATTCCCTGTGGATTCTGAAACCCCATTACCAGAGGTTACTAAATTATCCTGCCCACAAGGTGAACTTAAGGGTGAAGATGAATCAGAAGTAACAAATTTTAATCTAAATAGTGATATCCATGATCTCGCAATATAGCTCCCTAAGGATAATGCTGACAACGAGAGAGGTATTACACATCTAGTCCAAAAAAAAGTTTGGACTTACCCAAAACTCATCAAACCCCTGACCCACTCCAAACCTTCTGATTGGAGGTTGAGTCATTACTTAACACATTCAGCCTTAAGGTTGACATAACTAGTGCTGAGTGCATGACTCAAGATGTCATCCAGCGCAAACTGCCTAGTGAAGTGCTAGACAGATTTTGCTCGCATTTCAATAAAACCTCCAGACAGTAGAGATCACTGAGGGTTTGCATTCTGTTGAAGACAGGCAACGAGTAATCAAGGAAATTAAATCCTATCCCGAGCCTTCAGAAATAGTGCAGAACAATAAATCAAAGGGTACACCAAGTACTCTAAATAAATCTAAACAATATTATTCCACCTGAAAGTGGAGGAAGTCAGGCAGTGTGAGTACACATGCAGTGGGTTCCTCGAAGCCTACAGTTACTGTGTCACCAAAGGCAGTTACTGTGTCACCAAAGGCGGTGACTTCAAAAGGTGTTGTAGGATGGAGGGCATGTTTGTTCTGGCAAGAAGAGCATTCAATGTACCGCTGCACCAATTACCCTGATCATGACACCCATGTTAAGCGGCTCAAGAAGTTGCGAAAATGCATGAGGTGCCTCAAGGTACACAAAACCAGCACCTGTAAGACCCAATTACACACTTGTAATAGGTGAAACAAGGGTCAGCATCACGAATTGTGTGGGGACACAAAATTAAGGTCTCCAAACCCCAAGGTGGAAGATAACATTCCTACCAAGGTACAGTACTGCAAGGTGCAATAAAAAATCTGTCTTATCTATAACGTCCAAAAAAATAGGAATTTGCCTACTTACTGCCCAACTTACCATGAAGCAGCCCGCATGAAGACACAGGGGCCAATGTCCAAACTCGAGGATTGTTTGTCTAGGGGGCCCCAGAGAATATTTGTCACCCAAAAGGTGGCAGATGATCTACAATTAGACTGTTACCCAGGAAAAACTAAATATAATGGAGTTCCTGACTGACACATGATCTCATGTCTACCAGGTGGTGCAACTATTAATATGTTTAGCCGACTATGTCCGTCAGGTACAGGCCAACGTAGAGGATATAATTCCAACGGGCCTACATGTCTAGGAACCACTTCCAAATTCCTGAAAAGAAAGAGATTAAAATTCGCCGACAAAATCACGTCTGATCATCTAACCAACATGGGAATCCTTGTGAGTGCAGACTATTACAGCAAATTCATCACTGGCCCAACTAAATATCAGGGAATAAACCTGTTAAAATCTTCAAGTAGCAAATTACTCACAGGCGCAGTATTAAGTCTGAAGAGGCCTATGCCTGCAGACAATAAACAATTCCAATATAAATTCAAATTGGTCAGCTGAATTTAAACTCAGTAAAAATATACTAGGAAGAATACAGCTGACTATATCAACAGAGGTTGACCTTGATAGCATCATTTAAAGCCGAGATGTGCTCCAGGGGCCTCAGTAGCTAATGAGTGACCAGTGACCAAAATAAAGTCACAAGTCACTGCGACCAATATCGCTGATCCCAATGAAGTCCCAGAACCATTCTTGACATTAGTGATTGATTACATTCAATCCTTTGAATTATTAAACGCAAATAAAAGTAGTGTCCATGGAGGTAGAATGAGACGGAGTTGCCTAGATACTCTCATATCTGCAACTCCAGTACGGGACATTCGTCTTGTACGTACTGCAGCACAAAGGTGCAACAATAAAATAAATTAATTTACCATAATTCGGAATAGAAGTATTAGTGTTCGCCAGTTCCAAATAGTGGACTCCGACTCGTATTTCTCACCCACCCCCCATTGGAATAATGACCGAAATCTCCGACAACATTACTAACTTCTAATAAAATATGCAGAAAATAATATTGCTGCTGATTTTGTATTAATCCAAATTAAACAAATTATTTCAGTTACTCATTCAAAGTAAACTGAACTCGTTGCAATTTTCTCCAGAAAACGATTTTTTTTTATGTTTCGACATAGAAATTAATATAATTATTCAATTAATACTTCATTGAACAGTCTCAAGACTGGAACTAACAAATTACACTTTACTAAATTATTAGTTATCAAGTGAATAACATAAACTCCTCTATCAAATCATTAATAAAACTCAAAGAGAACCAATTTGGGGGGATGCACCTCCAGGGAGGAGGAGTAGCCGTTAATTGCACATCAAGCCTTCCCAGCTAACACATCAATTTTGTTAGTGTCACTTGAATCGCATCATCGGTTTTATAAATAATAAATACGTAAATTGACAGACGGATTCAACTACGAAAACAACAGGGAAGTGCTTAAATTTCCGTATAGACCTAGTTCTTTATTGCCAAATGTAAGACATTTTAGGGAAGTCATCTAGCATGACTCTCAGCCCAAATGGATTAGTTTCATAATACTAGTAAACTGATTCATAGATTTGCCATAATATCATAATAACTATAATTAGTGTAGTTGTACATATCTACATTGTAATATCTCGGCAGGCTGGAGTCGGGACAACACTATTAGTAAATAATTGCCATTAATGTTGAGGTGACGTGATGAAAGACGACGCCATCACAGCAGGGGCCCACTCACGTGTTCAGCACTGGTTCCATGATGACTGTCGACGCCTCCTAGTCTGATAAGGCTACTATTCATTCATACTAAATACATAGTCTGATAAGGCTACTAATACATTCATACTAACAATATACATTAACTGTTTAATTTCTTGTAGATTATCCTTTATTTTCCTCTTATCTCTCTTCCACTTCTTGAAGATTAGCCCTCATCGTCCTGTCAAAATCAAACCAAATCCAATCAAATGTTTATTCAGGTAAAGTATATACATACAAGGTGAGATACAAACATTGATGGATTTATAGATAGAGCTAGTACATACAATGCCTAAAGCCACTATTACGCAAAGCGTTTCGGGCAGAATGAAGATTATAACGTCTTTAGATTTGTCATTTGAAGATTGATTTGATAGATTTGTCATTGAAGATTTGTCGTCTTTACGTCTGTGACCTCTCGTTTAACTCAACGTGATTCAGGTCTTGCCTCACTTCTTTAGCTTGACTATTTACTCAAACATGCTAACGCAGTGGCCGC